TCTTCATCAGTGGCATTGCTTAAGATTCACATATTACATAGCTTGTTAGATGTGGGTTCCATGCAAAATCTAAGTGTTTTTCATTTTTAAAAAGGATTTTAAACCCTTTTTATGGTGAAGATAGCATTCTGTTACATTTGAAAACTAGCTCTGAATATCCGTCACACTGATTTGCCCTAACAGTGAGGGATTATTTACGGTTCCCCTTACCTGGGATCCTGTGAGCTTACCATGACTACCAGATCCTGCAGCTCACTACCAGTTTCTTAATGCCTTTTCTGAATGACAAAGCATTATTGCTAATCACAACTCTTCAGAACTCATGACCTGCAAAAATCATGAATATGATATAAAAATCATAGCATTTAAAAAAAAAATTTTTTTGGATTCCTTGTTTAGCTAGTTTTGTGTCACTAGGATTCATATTTTTAGGCTTTTCTCTACAACGAGAGCTAGAAACATATTATTTTATTAAATGAAAGCTGAGACTCTCATATAATCACCTGACTCCTGGAGCTGGGGCTTTTAAGAAAATCACCAAATGTCACAAGGCTTGTATTGCACATGTGCAATCCACAGAACAAGAGTTATTTACTGAAATGTTATGGTGAAAAAATTCTAAATCAAAATAAATCTGAGAATATAATTAGCTGCTCAAAGAAAATTAATGAGCTGAAAAGCCACAAATTATTAAATAGATTATTCACTATAATTTATTTGCTCAGCTCAAATATTGGACCAACGCTATCCCTAAAGTTACTCCAATAAAAGCAATAGTTTTGAATTTATGCGAACCAGAAGCAAGTAACAGCATTACTCAGAACAGCCCTAGGAACTATATATATAGAGAGAGAATTTTAAAAAACCTTCCAAAATAAAGAAAAAACTGCTAGGCTATCATTAGCTGTTCTTCTGTCTTCAGGAATCTGAAACAGGGAAATAACTATTTTAATGAGATCTCACAGGTAACATATATTTTATGCATGTCATACAAGATATTGCTTAAGAAGATGGAATAGTTTAGAACTAGATTTTGACTTAAGAACCAGCCCTAAGCAGGAGGTGGTAAGTCAGCTGCACTAACCCAGGAGTAGCTCCGGGATGCACTATGACTCAGACACATCTCTCTGAAGATCATCGATTTCCCTACTTCCCATTCATTCACAGGGGGAGTAATTTACTCTGGCCTACACTATACTCCCCACTCATTCTATAGAGAGAAAAAGCAAGCAAGTAGCCCCACTTACTCCTATCATAGGTACCGACTCCGTGGGAGCCCCAAGGCTGGAGCACCCATGGAAAAAAAGTAGTGGGTACTCAGCACTCATTGGCCGCCCCCCAATAAGCTCCTCCCCCTCCCCCTAGCGCCTCCAGCTCTCCACAATCCGCTGTTCAGCAGCATGCAGGAGGCACTGGAGGGAAGGGGCGAGGGCAGGGTGTGCTTGGGGGAGGGAGTAGAACAGGGCAGGAAGCAGCGGAACGGGGACAGGAGGAGGCGGGGGTGGGAAGAGGTGGGGCAGGGGTGAGAGCTTGGGGGCAGGGGTGGAGTGGGGGCGGGGCTTGGGGTAGAGCGAGGGTCGAGCACCCCCCAGCAACTCAGAAAGACCGTTCCTGTGACTCCTACACACCTGAACATGAAGTCTGGGTACCCCTCCTAGGGGCTTAAGGTGAGTTATTACTTCCTCTTGTTCACTAGCGTGGGTATGTAGGCTAGTCCAAATCCAACCCTAATGAAGTAAAAATAAAGAAAAGTTTAATATAATTTAATTACTGTTTTTCCCTGTGAGCCCTTCTTAGACCCTCACTGACGTAAGGGATCTCTTTTTCCCCTATGCTTCCCTCCCTCCTTATTGCCCCTATGTCTACTAGAGGTTTTGCAATTGGGTGACATGATATACTCTCTCCTCATAAAAACTGAGCAAAGACTTTGTAGCTGCATTCCCAATCTCTCTCTCTTTCTCTCGTCCTTTGAAGGACACAACCATGACTTTCATTCTCTGCAGAATGTAGTCGCTCTTTTGTTTACTATAATGAGAGAGAGAGAGAGGAGGGCTTTTTATTATTCTTACATCACACTTCAGATGTTTAGTGGTTGTGGACTTGTGATTATAGGCAACAAAGGATGATCGTGGGCACTGAAAACCATTAAAATATGTGGATTTTTTTTCCTGAATGTACACTAGTTTAAAAAAAAAGGCAATATACCTGTTTTAATTACAGTAGAACCTCAGAGTTATGTACACCAGAGTTAGAAACTGACCAGTCAACCACACACCTCATTTGGAAACGGAAGTACGCAATCAGGCAGCA